ACACCTGATATAGGGTGTTGATGTCATTAGACCACACCCCTTCTCATTACAGAGATGCACATCACCTAATATGCTTAATTGGTAGTAGACTTTCGAGCCTATACAGCTTGGAGTAAGATAACATGCATGAAGAGGATGATGTGGACAAAATACTCATTTGCCTAATAATTCTGCACTCCCTGTATTGCAACGTGTCAAGGCAAGTCATTTTTGTGCATTTTTTTTTAAGTCACTGTTGTTCCCTGGGAGCTTTTTAAGTACTGCAACAGAGGGTATGATGTTGTTATGGATGGGGAGAACTATGTATAGGCACCGTACAAGAAGAGAAGAAGAATTATCAGTGGACGAGTTACAAAAATGAGAAATGGCACTATGCACCTCTGGGTTTTTGTCATGGCCATGCGGCCCGGTTTGTGACACAATACTAATGATTAAAGTCAAATTACATTGCAGGTGTTCTCATGTGAGACTATTTTTTAGAATCAAACTGTTTTTTTTCTTGTTTGTTTTTTTCCCTTCATCCCTCTTTGTCTCTGTTTTTTTTTTTTTTTTTTTTTTGTAGCCCGATGAGGACCTATTTAACCCAGACTATGTAGAAGTGGACAGAGTGCTGGAGGTAGCTGTTACCACAGATACAGAGACCGGAGAGGTAGGTAACACATAAACACAGACACCCTCCCACAGAGGTGTTTTTCTGGTTTGAAAGTAGCTATTACCGAAGATCCTCAGTGTGATGGTGCTCTCAGAATCCTGTGGTACAAATACAACATGTTTTTTTTCTTTCTTGTATGTGGTTGTAGGAGGTGACCCATTACCTCGTTAAGTGGTGCAGTCTCTCATATGAGGAGGCAACGTGGGAGCTGCAAGAGGACTTGGACCCAGAGAAGATCAAAGAGTTTGAGGAGATCCAGAAACTGCCTGCAGACCTCAGACACATTGTGAGTAGACACGTAATCGAAGATGAGTACCATAAGAAAACTTGATGCAGCGCTTTAAAATTAAGGAGAAATTTTTTCCTCATTGTAACAAACCTCAGTTCAAGAACAGACGGGCAAGGTTGAGTTCAGTTGAGGAAAAAGCGCAACACACTGTTGCACTTCAGAACTGCTGTTTTTGAAAAAATGCTATATTATACCACTATGTAGCAGATGCTGCCTGATAATGGTCATGATTTACTATGTTGTTTTATACTGTCATGTTCTGGTCACTGTTCATTGGGAAGCAGTTTAATCCTTTTAATCCCTTTGCACTAAGATGATCATTAGTTCCTTTTCAGTCGCAACATAAGCTGTGGTAGTGTGCTTGGATTAGTTCAAGTAATAATATGTAGATTAAACAAATGTGCTCCATTTAGGACTCATTTCTGTGAATAATATTGAATTTGTGTAACTGTGTATTTGCTACAGTGGTTGCCATTTTTTTCAGACTATTTTTCCTGCTCTGGTACAGGAAGATAATGTCCCTTTTCTCTCAGTACAGTCCACAATGCTCCGATAGGCTTATTTATTTATTTATTATTTTCACAGCTGAGACTCATTTGAATTTCTGAATAGATATGGAGATGTGGGCGGCAATTCAGACGTTTTGAGCCATCTTAGATACATAGTGAGAGAAAACATTTACATTATAAAGTTAGGCTGGTGGGAGGATAATAGAAAAAGGGAAACTGCGCTAGTGTACACCATTATGACTTTATGTTTTATCTCTAGCCATTTCTGCAGAACAGACAACCTTGTCTGCCCACATCTCTACAACCACTGATCCTCAATTTTGCCTTTTTGGTGTTGCTTCTTTTTTCCCAATGCTAACGAGTGCAAACATGATCGGCTTTGTGTGATTTTTCTTTTTTCTTTAAATTCTTTTAATCCCTCACAGTCTGATTCGCCTCAGATATGTTCTGCTCTTTAACTATAGATCTGTTCTTAGCTGTTTAGTGTTAGTATAACTGCTTTGTAAGCAGAAGCAAGAGATGGCAGCGGTGTGACATGATAGGTTGTCATTATCCCAACAGCATATTTACTTTCCAAGGTTGAATACATAATTGTTACTTCAATAGCAGCAATTTTTTTGAGGTTCTTTCAATTTTTGGACATTCGGGAGCAAAAACTGAGCAAGTTATTGTAGCTCCTTTGCTATTAAAATCTAGTATAATCACCTTATTTACCCATTCAACCTCTATAATAGCTTCATTTTACACTTATAAACTGGCACAACTCACTTATCTTATTTCTGACTGATGAGAGGAACCAAATAATTTCATCATCTGATTATATCCCAGTTTTCTTGGATAGAGTTTTGTAATGATTCCAATCAAAAAATACAGCACATAACATGTAATAACTGTATTTTTGTTGTTGCATTTTGTTTAGTAATTACTGAAAAGGTACTGAAAGGGCAATTTATATTTGTATGTGTGTTTGCATCAAAGGAGCGTCCTTCTCCAGAAAAGTGGCAGAAGCTGGAGCGCTCTAGAGATTACCGAAATGGAAACCAGCTCAGAGAATACCAGTTAGAGGGAATGAACTGGCTACTGTTCAACTGGTACAACAGGTGAATATACACACTGGAACCATTCTAGTCACATTCACTCACTGAGGTTCAAACAATCCAGGGTAAATTTAGGGCTAAATAAAAGAAATAAATCAAACTCTCATGATCAGTTAGTTGATTAATTAAAATAAGTCATAAACAATGACAGTTTTACAGTCAGTTAAGCTCCAATTATGCACTGAGGACTACGACTCACCTGGATGGCTCCTATAGGTCATACATACATACATATATACACACTGGTTGTATACATTGTTACTTCTCTAGCAGGCGTGCTCTGTGTGTGGGTGTGTCCTGCCGCTCTCTCCCTGACTCAGGTGCCACCTCTTTCTCCTGTGGAGCCAGTGCGCAGCTGACTCCACTCAGCAATCAATCAACACTGCACTATAAAAGCTGCGGAGAAGCGCTGCCCAGTCTCTCAGTGGGCAAGCTCTGGCAGGGTTGGAAATGTGTCCTCGTGGTGGAGTGTGTCGCAGTGTGCCAGCTTCACTGGCATGTTGTACTTCAATTATGTGTTGAGCTACTAGTGAGTAGTTGTCACCTCCTGCTAGCAGAGAAGTGGGTTTCTTCCTTTGAATGATTCATTAATTTTTTTCCCTTTGTTTAAAGCAGCATTTATGGTCTGCTGATGTTTTGTTTTTTGTTTGTTTGTTTTCTTTTTTTTCTTTGATAGACAACAAAAGAAAAACAGGCAATTTAATTATTATTTTTTTAAACCCAGTTATTTTATTATTAGTCTTAATCCCCTAGTCCTTTTTGGGGGACATTACCTGCATACATAAACTAAAACATCACGCAAACACACTAAAAATCATGGTGAGCACTTCCTGATTGCAAGAAGCAGAGGCCCAAAATAAAACATGAGTGCAACTCCTAACCTAAATGAGACAATAGATGTACTGTATCTAATCTTGTCATATTTTATGGCTTCATTCTAAATGCATTTCAAACTAAAGTCAGCCCCACTACTGGCCTGAAACAAATTAGTTCCACGAAATGTGACCCGTGTACAAATGTGGTGCAGAAAATCAGTGAGACTTCAAAAACACAAAAGCACTTTCACATGAGAAACAGTCTTCCAATCTGTGTACCGTAAAAGTCAAAGAAAATTCCTGCAAATGCATGTTGGGATGTAAAACAAGTCTGGCTCTACTGTCATTACAGAAGCAAAATTTAACAAACCGTGCTTTAATTTTTAAAACCTCAAACTTTTTAAATTAGTTTTTAACTTATGAGATTAGAAGTCATCATTCAGATGAGGAGCATTTGTATGTTTGACTGATTCGTGTTACGAGATGCAGAGTTCACGTTATCATCACAAATGTGTTGAGACAATTATGTTTACACAAACTGTAATCTATTACATGAACAAGTTATTGTATAATTTGCACAAATGGATGCCTCTGGTTTTCATCCTAGAAAAAACTGTATACTAGCAGATGAGATGGGTTTGGGAAAGACAATTCAGTCCATCACCTTTCTCTACGAGATCTTCAGCATGGGGATTCGCGGGCCCTTCCTCATCATCGCACCTCTGTCCACCATCACCAACTGGGAGAGGGAGTTTCGCACATGGACGCACATGAACGTTATTGTGTACCACGGCTCGCAGATCAGCCGGCAGATGATCCTGCAGTATGAGATGTTTCACAGAGACCCACAGGTAATGTTTGACTGCAGTCATCTCCTCTCATTGATCAGCCAGGAACTGAATCAGCTGTGTTATGTTTCTCTAGTAGCTTTGAAATGTAAGGTGTGTTCAAATATTTGGTGTTTGATTCCTGTTGAAATTCCAGAGAGGTTGGGGTTTTGGGGCCTTCTACAGTGATATAAAATGTCTTTATTTGCTCTGCAATCACTAAATTGATAGGAAAAATTGAAATGCTACAGGGTCCAGCTTCTCCTTTGGAAAAAAAAATGTAATCAGTTCAACTTTGTTCTGTACTTGCGCTTGAAGCTTAGTCTGTAAGAAACCGAGATTGTGTCATTTTTCAGTATTTTATTTGACAAAACACCTAAAGGCATAAACACCTACAGAATAAATCGACCAACTGAAGTAAAAATACAGATAAAGCCAATGTTAAAGTTGGGAGACGGCGCAGAGTCTTTGGATTGATGATTTTTCGTGGTCGGTCAAATGAGTTATCGCAGTTGTAGAGTAAATTTTTATTGCTCATAAATAACTGCAATGTTGTTAAACATCTACCTCAGTATTAATTTATCTGACTCTGTTAAACAGCAGATGTTTTTGTTTATGATTTTCAGCTTGTGTTTAAATCAATAAAAATTGGAAAAATTATACCATTCAGTTGCTAAACACCCGTTCGCTTTCACTCGGCTTGTACACATAACAGTGTTGCATCAGGGATCTTATTGCTTCTTATTTATGTATAACAGAGAATTATCATTACTATAGTGTATGCGTTTATTATGCAAGCTTTAATTTTTATCTCCGCAGATATCCAAGGGGCTTGAATACTAATTTTAGTCATGTGAGCCTAATGCAGCTGTGTAGCAGTTTCTGTTGTTTGAGGCATTCTTTATTCTATTTCTTAGTCAGCAAACGTTCTATAATGTCCACCCCTGAAATACCAAATATGCGTTTTCCTTTTCTTTTTTTATAACAAGGGCAGAGAGACAAGTGTATCAGAGGCAGCAAAGAAAACTGGGATCAAAACTGAACCACAGATGTGATATTGACATGAACCTTTTGATTATCTTGACCCTGAAATATGAAGTTTATATTCTCACCCTTCCCTCTCTCACAGGGTAACACTATCCCAGGTGTGCTTAAGTTTCATGGGCTGATCACCACTTTCGAGATGATCATGGCTGATTGTCCAGAGCTGAGAAAGCTGCACTGGCGCTGTGTGGTAATCGATGAAGCCCACCGGCTAAAAAACAGGAACTGCAAACTGCTTGAGGGTCTCAAACTCATGAACCTGGTCAGTCTGTGTGTGCTATATATATATATTAAAAAAAGGCTGTTGTTTTAGTGCTGAAATGTAGTCTTATTTATCCCATTGGTTTTTTTTAGGTTTTTTTTTTTTTTTAGATGAACTCAGCAGATTATGTGTGTATTTTGTTGTTGTTATTTTATTTCTTCAGTATATTGTACATATTCCAACAGGAACACAAGGTCCTGCTGACAGGAACCCCTCTGCAAAACTCAGTGGAGGAGTTGTTTAGTCTGCTGAACTTCCTGGAGCCACTACAGTTCCCTTCAGAAAGCACCTTTCTCGAAGAGTTTGGAGACCTCAAGACTGACGAACAGGTATGCACAGTTTACAGTTTTCCTCCATTCTAGATTTTAACCAAGAAAAATGAAAATTTTTATGTTGTGTGCTAACATTGCTATTCTCTCCGGCCCATCTTGCCTTTCGCTCTGTTTATTTTTTCCTCTTACTGAGCATCACATTCACACTTTGTCTAATTTCTCCAAAAGGTGAAGAAGCTTCAGGCCATTCTGAAACCCATGATGCTAAGAAGACTGAAAGATGACGTGGAGAAAAATCTCGCACCTAAAGAAGAGACGATTATAGAGGTACGGCTGTGTTTTCGTGTGTGCTTGATATAGAAATGTAAGATGGGAGTAATGCTCCTATTTTTACAGTTCTCTGAGCTCTTTGCTGGGAAATATTTTTATCTTGCTGCATTCTGTTATGGCTGAATGATTCATCAAACATTACTGATGAAAGCTTCATTCACTTGGCAACAATACTGAATCCAGCAATTACACTTATTTTTATCAGTATTATTAGTCTTTATTAGTCTCTTAAAACACAACTAAATTAAAATGAAATTAAAATGAAGTTGTCAGTTAATTAAAATGAGTGTTCATCTGTGATGAGTGTCTGGTCTTGTTTCCTCTGGGTGCTCCAGTTTCCTTTCATATTCCAAACACATACAGATACAGCCACTTAAAATGGCCACCGCATCGCTGACAGGACCATGATGGATGTCTGTTGGAATTCTTGACCGATTGTCGACTGATAGATAACCGTAATGATATACCCTGCCTGTAACAGAATAGAATAGAATTCAACTTTATTGTCATTGCACATGCACAGGTACAGACGATGCAAACACGATTGTAACTCCCATAAGCAGTATTTAGGAAAACCAGTGGTAATTTCTTAAGTATCCACCAGGGGGAGCAGCGTGGAGGCGCATTCATTTACAGAGCCGCTACACACGTTTTCAAACATTTTGCGCTGTGAAAGAGAAAGTCCAACTTCAACAACAGGTATGAGTCCCGCAAAAAAGCGTTCAACCCGCAGTCTTTATTTAGTTAGTTATAAGTGCAAAAACTCTATGTGCTGATAGATAGGCGAGAATTTACAGTCATTAACGTTCAACCTGATGTGCGACTATACAAACGGCGCTCTCAGCCCCAACAGATTTTTTTTTTTTAATATGCAATTTAGATTATTAGCAGCTGATACACATTTTATATATTTTGTATAATTACAAATAATTTGTAATTTTATTTTATTTTTTTCTGAACTTTATGACAAAGTTAAAATGAGGGATTTTTGCTCCTCATTTTAGTGCTTGTTGTTCAGCTGCTGAGATTCATTTGCATATTGCCACCTCTTAATGATGAGAAATAAGAGCCCCCCCACCCCCAGCTCTGCCTGTCTGTAAAACCTTCTTAGTGAATGCCATTGATGTGTTTTCTCCTTTTATAAAGTTAATCACAAAAGATTTGTCAAATTTTTTTAGATTACTGTTAAAATCTGTTTTCCACAGTAGCCAAATTAAAACTGCTGTTGATACATCTGCAAACCTTGTGACATCATGTTAAATTATTAACAGTGTAACTTAAAAATGTAAGTAATTTCTACTTTATAGGATGATCTGTCAAGTCAGAACATGCTTGTTTAAATTCGTTGAGGTCCGCACAGAGAAAACAGTTTTCAGTGAAAACAACGACATCAGAATTTTTTTTATCTTGGGGTAACTGAGCGCATGTCTCTATTGTCTCTACTGTTACAACAGGATGTATGACAAAGAGGAAAATAAGAGAAAGCATCAATAGGTCCCCTTGAAGATTTCTTCTCCATAACACTGACACACAGCACACTATATCGGCTTGTGTCATTACTTAACAGCTGCTTAAAAAAAAGAAACACAATTTTAAATGGATGCTTTTTTTCTTTCCCGTCTTCTTTTCAGGTTGAGCTGACCAACATTCAAAAGAAATACTACCGAGCCATCTTGGAGAAGAACTTCTCTTTCCTGTCCAAAGGAGCAAACCAGCACAACATGCCCAACCTCATTAACACCATGATGGAGCTTCGCAAGTGCTGCAACCACCCTTACCTTATCACAGGTGAGAGCAAACATGCAAGCACTCACAGATTGTTATTCATCATTCATAGTCAAGCAGTTGTTCACCCACTCCCTCACTCTCCACTCCCACACTCATTGACCTTGTGTGCATGAATCTGCCTCCTTTGTTTTATGTACACATCTTTGATAACAGAATTATTTATTGAATTTATTACTTATTAATGTATTAGCACAATATATTTACAATACCATGTTGTCAGCTAACAGCGAGTCAAAACAGTTTAGAAAGAAACCATGAGTGCGAGAGGTAGCTGTGTTGAAGCGTAGTGCCATGCACCCAGATTCTGGGTGTTTTTCCTTTCAAGCGTAGAATGCTTAAATAAAATAAATGTACCTTGGTTTGCCTTGACTTGCTTTACCTTTGCCTTCTTTTGTTTTTCTAGGAGCTGAAGAGAAGATTCTGGAAAGTTTCAAAAAGAGCCACAGTCCAGAAGCACCAGACTTCCAGCTGCAGGCCATGATCCAGGCAGCCGGTAAACTGGTGCTGATCGATAAGCTGCTGCCAAAACTGCTAGCCGGAGGACATAAAGTCCTAGTCTTCTCCCAGATGGTCCGCTGTCTGGATATCCTTGAGGACTACCTCATACAGAGGCGGTAAGGGGAAAGTACAGCAGGCTAAAAGGAAAAAAAAAATGCAACACTTTTCAAAAAGGAGAAAGGGGAAAAGTCGATTTACCCTCAAATCTGTGTTGGTGTGTTATCTCCAGCTACACCTATGAACGCATTGACGGTCGTGTGCGTGGGAACCTGCGGCAGGCAGCCATCGACCGCTTCTGTAAGCCAGATTCAGACCGCTTCGTGTTCCTTCTCTGCACCAGAGCTGGAGGGCTGGGAATCAACCTGACAGCTGCTGACACCTGCATCATCTTTGACTCAGACTGGAACCCCCAGAACGACCTGCAGGTGGGCACAGAGCTGCGTAAAGCATCCAAAGAAGCCGTCACAAATTTGCACATGCTGTATGTAACTCATGAGACCAGAATGCCTACTGACATACAAATGAATTTGTGTTGTCAGAGCATCATAAAAAAGATGGAGATCTATCTTAATCATGCTCTCGTTTGACTGTGCTAACTTGCTGCTTGTCTCATTCATGTAATATGTAGTGACATTTGTGATGAATAGTGGGACTGCAGTGGTTGACAAAATGCACGCTTGAAAGGATGCCTTGAATAATGAAGTGAGCATGCAGTGTTACTTGACTCGGAAGGTATAAGTCTTCTCCCGGCTCTGATGCAATGCCTGTTTCTGTATCTTGTATCAAGCTTTCTTAAAATCTTTACAGTTACGAAGATTTTTCATTAACGTGTCGATTTTGATTTTGTCAAGTCCCTGTTTTTGTCTTTCTTGCTGATCTGTTAAATGTTGAACAAATTCACTCTAATTAAACTACAGGTTAATGTGCTCATGCACAGTTAGTAAAAAAAACAAAAAAATAGAAACCCCTAAATAGACATGGTTGAATCCTCATGCTAAAAACAATTTCTCTTAACTTATAAACTCATTTATCTTTACACTTAATTCTGGAAAGTAATTGAAGCTAAATATCGATCCTTCCATTTTCTACCCCTTATCCTGGTCGGCATTACAGGGGCAGATGTACAGCAGACCTACTTCTTCCTAACCACTACCTCTAATGTGTATAAAAATATAGAATAATTATGTTACAGTTATGCTGAATTTGGCAAACGTTAGTCACAAGCACTGATGCAAACAATATGCAAATCTTACAGATTTAAATTGACTTTGATCTTTACCTTTTCTTTAATGATGTATAAATAGTCTCAGGCCCTCAAAGTATTTTCAAACCAAGCTGAGAGGAAGTCTCTGTAAAATGTAATGCTTTACACTTCCATGCTTCCTACTGTTATAGGCCCAGGCACGCTGCCACCGGATTGGCCAAAGCAAAGCGGTGAAAGTCTACAGGCTGATCACCAGAAACTCGTATGAGAGGGAAATGTTTGACAAAGCCAGTCTAAAGCTGGGACTGGACAAAGCCGTCCTTCAAGACATCAACCGTAAAGGAAGCCTCAATGGAGTAAGAGATTAGTTTTGAGATATTCTTATATTGTATACGATTGTTTAATCTGTATTCATTTTGGTGTGAGATGGTCTGCTGTGTATGTATGAGGGAGAGAAACCCTCAAATCCTAGCTTGTGTCTGTTTTGCGACAGGTGCAGCAGCTTTCAAAGATGGAAGTGGAGGATTTGTTGAAAAAAGGAGCATATGGAGCCTTAATGGATGAAGAAGACGAGGGCTCCAAATTTTGTGAAGAAGACATTGATCAGATACTTCAGAGGAGAACTCAGACAATCACCATCCAGTCTGAAGGGAAAGGCTCCACGTTCGCTAAGGTGGAAATTCTTAAACAACATTAAACTCCTTAAAGCCTAAAACTTATAAAAGGCTGCACACTGGAGGGATTTTTAGGGTCTCAAATGGTGTTTTAATTCGGCCCCATAGTCTAGGTGGTGTTCACAAGCTCTGAAAGCGGAATACTTTAAATAGTTTGGCGTGAAGATCAAATGTCTTAGTACAAAATATTTGTGCTAAACCTGAGAAATTGGCAGCTTAAGACCAAACATTTGATCGTAAGCCAGCTTGTGTCAAAACCAAGTAAACATCATTTTGGGTCTTAATATTTTTTCCCCCCGCCTTCTGCTTCTCGTTCCTCAGGCCAGTTTCATCTCATCAGGTAACAGAACAGACATTTCTCTGGATGACCCCAACTTCTGGCAGAAATGGGCCAAGATCGCTGAAGTAGAGATAGACTCCAAATCAGAGAAGGTAAGGAGGCTGACAGAAAATGAAAACAAGACAGGATGAATGAAAGAAAAGGAATAAGGATGTGAATACTAGAATAATAGAAGGATGAAAAAAACTTTTTTACAGTTTTACTGAAGTAGAATGCACACCTAAAACTGGAGATGTCTTTAAACTGTGTGTGTGGGGGGATGGTATTTTGTGCTCCGAACACCTAAAAACTGAAACCCCCAGTGACATGAGGACGTTTGTGATCTTCATCCTTTCCCTTTTTCCTCAGGGTTCTTTCCTTTTTGAACACCACCAGAGGATAAAACTTAGTTAGAACCTTCTTTAAAATACTTCATCCTGTTATTAGAAAGACTCATGCAATTCTTGATCAGAGGCTGTCTACATTTATCTTCTATCCAGGAGTCACTGGTAATTGACACACCCCGTGTAAGGAAGCAGACCCGTCATTACAACTCCTTTGAGGATGATGAGCTGATGGAGTTTTCAGAGCTGGACAGCGACTCAGAAGAGCGGCCTTGTCGAACTCGTCGCCTGGGTGAACGTAGCCGCCGCTACCTCCGTGCCGAATGCTTCCGGGTTGAAAAGAATCTTCTAATATTCGGGTAGGACCGGAGAGTGTGTTAAAGAAAACTGCATATGCCATATTAGACCATCAAGACTCTTAAACTCAGTTCGAAAGACAAAACGGAGACCATTCTTTTTCCAAGCTGCTGCAGAATATCTCCTTAGCGGTGGAATGATTTTTTGTTTTAGGAATGCATATACGTGCTTAACAGGTGACATCTAACAGCTGGCAGTTCATGGCCATTAGACAGCGTGGCATAATTAATAATGACTTAACCTTTATCTCATATGTTTTTTAATTTGGGAGCTGAAGTGTGAACGTAAATGAGCCGAAATACAACATTAAAGTTTTCAGTTTGATTTGTTGTGGAAAATTTTCAATAAAGTTGTGATTACACACAGTTTGTTTCAAAGAACAGATCACTGATAGAAATCTGCTGCATTTTCCTTTACTATCTCATTTGTTTCCTGTGTGCATTTCTGTCCGCCCTCTCTGTTCTTTCTAGGTGGGGTCGGTGGAAGGATATCCTAAACCATGGTCGGTTTAAATGGCACCTCACAGAGAGAGACATGGAGGTGATCTGTAGGTAAGAGTAAGAGGAATCATCATTATCAGCTGTTTGTTAGCAGTACCCAGAGTCCGACACATCACGTTTCCTTTTTGTTGTGTAGGGCTCTTCTGGTTTACTGCCTGAGACACTACAAAGGCGATGACAAGATAAAGAGCTTCATCTGGGATCTGATCACACCCACCAAGGAAGGCCAAGATCAGGCACTCGTAAATCACTCTGGTTAGCATTTTACTCTGCACATGTGCTACAATATACAGTATAAAGTCAGCTTATGACCTAAAGATTGCACCACGTATTGGAATGTATAGACCAGGATTAACTACTGGTATAAATACAAAGTTAAATTGGTAGCATTAACTCTGTGGAGTATCTTTCTTTTCCTCCTTGTCTGCATTGCAGGTTTATCAGCTCCCGTTCCTCGGGGTAGGAAGGGGAAGAAGCTGAAGAATCAGCTGAATGTTACTGAGGTGAAGAATGCTGACTGGCTGGTCCATTGTAACCCAGAGGTGGTGCTGCAGGATGAGAGCTACAAGAAACACCTCAAACAACACTGCAACAAGTCAGTGCATTAACAGAGCTTTTTGCTTATCACTACTTACATGAAGGACTTTATTTTACACTAGAGTGTGTTTGGTGGTGTTTATTTACAACATACAGAGTTCACGACATGGATTATGACACCGCTTCTCCTTTATCACTCCACAGGGTGCTACTGAGGGTGCGGATGTTGTACTACCTAAAGGTGGAGGTTCTAGGGGAAGCTGCCACTCAAGGTTTAGAGGGGGTACCTGCCAGGTATGATGCAGACAACGTATCATTCACATAGTGTCAGATCAGTTGGCACTGCTGACCAGATCCGGCAAGAAATGAAAACCTATAAAATGTGCTGATTTGTTCAGCATTTTGGTCTTCCCACTTTTTTAAGCTCACATTTTATCTTTTACTGTTAACGTTGGAGGGAAATATGATTGACTGGCTTGTGTTTTAGTGCACTGACTTGACGCTGACAGCACTGACGGATGGACTGTTTGTGTGTGTTGACAGTAAACTTGAGGTGCCGCTACCTGACATCGACTACATAGAGATTCCAGTGTCATGGTGGGATGCAGAAGCTGACAAGTCTCTCCTCATCGGGGTTCACAAACATGGTGAATACAGATGTCACATTTGGCACAATATTTTGCCATGCAGCATCTACTTTTTTTTTTTTTTTTGTGCTGTGTGCTTTAATAAATATTCAGTTGTTAATTGTTTACAAATTTTTACCAAGCTCGACTTGAATTTGTTTAGCAAAAAAGATTTTGGAGCTATTTGAACAGACTTTAAGGAACAAACATAGATGCCATCTGTTATTTGTGTGTGCAATGCGTAGTACTCTCAGATCTGTGTTTACACAATTTTTATTTGTTTATTTATTTATTTACTTATTTATTTTTTTGCTGAAGACGAGAAACTGCTTTAGAATATCACTGGACACCTACCAACATTCATTGGAAAGGAATATATGTGTCAGTGTTTCCCAGATATTGACTTTTCTTGGGTGGGATGGTTAAGCATATCAACCCTTGTGTGCATATAGCTTTAGATTTATTTATTAGTTTGGGTGAAAGAAGTAATTAAGTAGACAATCCCGTTGTTTTTATATTAGGTGTCAGTCATACAGACCTTGAGACTGGTCTGCAGTCCCCTGTGTCCCCTGTAAATGTGTATCCCCCAACAGGTTGGTGATTGGTTGCTCGCTGTTGCCAGGTGCAATCAGTCGGAAAGAGGGTGCTGCACCAAAAACCTAACCGTGCATGCTTTGCTCACTAGCAGATTGCTGTGGTTGACTCTAGTTTGCATGGAAGAAGCCAACTTTCTGCAAACATTTGCCATTTACTCTTCCAGCTATAGTGAAACTGGAAAAAGTGTGATGCAAACCAGAAACGGGGAAGATTCAGATTCAAAGTGAAGGTTGTGTTGCACTTTTCATTTACCTCCAAACAGTAGTTTGCAACTGTTTTGGAGACAAGTTGGGACTATCTGTGCAACCTACTGATGACCATGACAACCTGTTAGCAACTAAAAGCAAGGAAGTTTTTCAGTGCAGCACCTCTTTGCGACTAAATTCTAGCTAGCAAATGTCTGCAACCATGCCAACCTGTCCCGGAAAACACACTTTTCCTTAGACCAGTGATTACAGTGGGGGACATTGACCGCTCTCTAGGACTGAGTGAATAGGTTTTAAGTAACTGATTTCACATCAACTACCAATAATGTCGAGCATCCACTCACAACAGTTGATATTAGATACGTTTGCCTTGTGACTGATGCTTGTTAGATGGTAACTGACTGTGGCGTTATTTTTGTGCCACTATTCTGAGTGCACGTAAAAAAAAAAATGTGAGCACACTTAAAAAAAATTTGCAGGTGCAAGTGTTGCATTTTGAGGAGAAATTTATTTTGAATGAAGAAAAGCTAAATTTGAGTGAACAAAATTCATTGCTGCGTGCAGAAGATGCATTTCAGTGTTTGCTATTATCCATACACGCACACAATAGCAGCCCCTCTCGCTCAGTTTTTGCTCGCAATGTGTTGCTTGCGCTCTCAACATTTCTGCCCGTGCGCGCTCAACTCTTTCTGTACACCGTTATATTTGTGCCACAAAACCAGCCAATCACAGACTTGGATGCAAAAAAAAAAATCTGATTGGCTGTTTTGGTCTCCAATCAGCTCGAAATGACGAAATGCAATATCCCAGAATCCATTTCGTCTCAAACGAGGCAGTGGCAGAGGAACACAGAGTGGCGGAGTTTGAAATATTGCTCTTTCTGGGTCACAAAATAAACTTTTAAGATATTTTCATGCGAGAATGGTGCTGTGTAAACTTCAAATATCTGTTTGATTTATCAAAACATCACATATTTGCAAAAGTGCTCTAATGTTTTCGGAGATGCCAACACCACTCAGACTTCACTGTTATATTAGTTCTTGCTACACTATAACATGCTATGCTGAGCTTACTAAGGCTGCAGAGCAAAACATGATAATGGAGTTTTAATCTGTCTTCAAGAAAAAAACAGCTGATTATTGCTCCATTACTGAAAAGTGGGGATATAATGTATTGTTTATTAACTTATTAAGTGTTTGTTTTTCCATGCATACACAATGTGCAAACGTCCTGCTGCCTCAAATACTTGTTCACACTAGTAAAAGTGTTTTTCCTCTGACAGGATATGAGCGGTACAATGCAATGCGTGCTGATCCAGACTTGTGTTTTCTGGAAAGAGTGGGGATGCCTGATGTGACAGCTCTGTCCTCAGAGCAAGCAGGAGGAGAGGTGGCCTCTGACGTCGCTGACAGGTAAGGTACACGGAGACAAACACCAACACAGCAGACCACTGCGATTGTGTTCATAGATTGCTGAAAAGGTTTTTCGGGTATTCGGGAAAATTCGAAACATTATTTTCTTCTGTCTGTTGTAATTTTTGTCTTTCTTTTTGCTGTGTGTAACAATGAGATGTTTATATGAGTACGTCGTACTAGATTTGGTATGTGCCACGTGAAACGATGATTAAACACACTGATCGTTTTGGCACAGGGACCCTTCTCAGCACGTTATAAAACTTACTGTGGCAGCTCACACCGTGTTTTGGTCGTGCATATTAAAAACAAATTCTTTGTTGATATTACCTCAGTTTCTATCAGCTGACCCTCAGTAACCTCTTTGTTTAGCACAGGGCCATTAATTAGCTTCCCTGCAGATCTTCAGCAGTTCTTTGTACTTCTTCCAGTCATCGCCTTTTATTTATATATTTATTTGTACTGCTGGTAGTAGTGTTCACAGCAGGTTGCCAACACATCCTGTCTCCTCTTGTTCCCTGTTTGTATTTGTTTACACTGTCACCTCCCCGCTCACACACCTGCTTTACATACTGAGTGTGAAGATTGAAAGCACGTAGACATACAATTATAAATGCACAGGGTGGAATTAAGGTGCTTGTTATGGTGATAACAACCAGATAATATTTTTCATATAGCTTACAGACTAACACGCTCACAGCTATTGTGAGGACATTACCATAAAGTATTCAATTTTAGGCTCACCATACCCATGAACAGTTTATAAGAACTGTTAAAATCAGCTTCAGCAGTAATGTTTTCTGGTAGTTTCACTGTACTTGCAAGTCTTGCAAGAAGAAGCAATGCTGCCAGGAGCCGCGAAGGAATAACTGTCAGAGAGGGAGTGAGCCAGAGAAATAGACGACCGAGAAAAGTGTGGGAAATTTATTTTCTGGGTGCTGCTGCTGCCTCGGCTAATGGTAGCGCTGTGAAGATTAGACGCATACATTTGAACAGGAAGCTTTGATCCACTTCCTGAAGGTAATTGAAGTTGTCGTTCGCTTTGTTACCTGTTCAACCTGAAGCTGCGCCCAGCTGAGCACAGCGACTGTGTAACAGAAAGATCTTCTAGTCTCAAAATGTTAACTCTGCAGGGTTCCTACAGAGCTTTGAGAACAGGATAGGAGAAAATAAATGAATGCAGGGAGACGATGTTACAAGGATGAAATTGTGCATGCAGAAGCAGTAGTACAGGAAATGTGGCCATGCAGAACCTGCACAGGTGTGAAAGTGTTTTGTGTGCTAATACTTCTCTTTATTGCTGCCCGAGGAGTTTCTGCTTTATGTTGAATCTACAACACACACAGCACAGGTGTGATATTTTTGGATGTTAAAAGTTTTTGAAATGCTGGTAGGAAGCCTTCCAAAAGAAACAGCAATTATACATAGAAGGATTTTTCAGGACTTTTGCAGAAACCTAAAAATACAGTGAGGAAATAAAAATCCATGAGCGATCATGAACAATGCTTATTTAATTCATTAACAGTTTATGCAAGTGATCATAAATAATGTAAAATCTAAACATGAATTCTCATTTCTGTCTTTACAAAGAATAGAAGAAAATTCGGTACTCCAGGAAAGTTCCTTCCAAGATGAATAGAAGTTCTTTATTCACAGCTAATAAACCCTTTTATCTTTTTAATTTTTTTTCCTTTAAGAAGTGCCCTTAATTAACCCATGTGCTGAATTCATTTCAGTGAATTCATTAATTCATTTTCCCCAGTAAAATTGGAATCGCATTGGTGCAGAATTTTAAATAAATGATTAAATAATTTGATTTAGAAGACAGTCATTTGCAAACCCCTGCGACAGACTCACAGTCTGACTCGCAGAGTGTATCCTGCTGCTATACAGTAGTTTGAATCTCACTCTGGAGAGGCAGCTGAATGGCCAGCGTGATGGTTAGTAGCAGGTGAATTTTTGAAATTAGAAAAAGGGTGATTTTCTAAAAATTTCACATCGTCTTGCCTGTTTGACAAATAGGGGGGAAAAATAAAATGCTTAACTATGTCGCCATAGCGTCTACCCAAACAAAATCTGCATGAGGGAAAAACTATTAATTTCCTCCCTGTGAAAATGCACAATGGAAATACCAACCCACATTCAAAAACATGAACATATGCCACAAACATCAAATCTCTGCAGAGACCCATCTGTCTTTTTTCATTAGCAAATTTTGAAATATGCTGTGCACCAAAACATTGAACAGCAGTTCAATAGTAGCTTATAACTAATATCAGAC